GAGACTTTGCTGAAGTTGCTTCTCAGTTTCAGGAGATTTTGGGCTGAGATGATGGAGTCTTCTAAATATACAGTCATGTTGTCTGCAAATAGAGAACATTTGACTTCCTCCTTTTTTAATTGAATACACTTTATTTCTTTTCCTTGCCTGATTGCTCTGGTTAGAACTTCCAATACTATATTGAATAGGAGTAGTGAGAGAGGGCATCCTTGTCTAGTGCCAGATTTCAAAGGGAATGCTTCCAGTTTTTGCCCATTCAGTATGATATTGGCTGTGCATTTGTTGTAAATAGCTTTTATTGTTTTAAGATATGTTCCATCAATATCTAGTTTATAGAGAGTTTTTAGCATAAAGGGCTGTTGAATTTTGTCAAAGGTCTTTTCTGCATCAATTGAGATATTCATGTGGTTATTTTCTTTGGTTCTGTTTATGTGGTGAATTTGGTTTACAGACTTGTGTATGTTGAACCAGCCTTGCATCCCCGATATGAAGCCTACTTGATCATGATGGATAAGCTTTTTGATGTGCTATTGCAATTGGTTTGCCAGTATTTTATTGAAGATTTTTGCATCTGTGTTCATCATGAATATTGGCCTGAAGTTTTCTTTTTTAGTTGTTTCTCTGCCAGATTTTGGTATCAGGATGATGTTGGTCTCATAAAATGATTTTGAAAGGATTCCCTCTTTTTGGATTGTTTGGAATAGTTTCAGAAGGAATGGTACCAGCTCCTGTTTGTATGTCTGGTAGAATTCGGCTGCGAACCCATCTGGACCTGGGCTTTTTTTGGTTTGTATGCTATTAATTGCTGCCTCAACTTCAGCCCTTGTTATTGGTCTATTCAGGGTTTTGACTTCTTCCTTGTTTAGGCTTGGGAGGATGCAAGTGTCCAGGGATTTATCCATTTCTTCCAGGTTTACTGGTTTATGTGCATAGAGTTGTTTGTAGTAATCTCTGATGGTGGTTTGTAATCTCTGGTGATATCCCCTTAATTGTTTTCTATTGCATCTATTTGATTCTTCTCTGTTTTCTTTTCTATTAATCTGGCTAGTGGTCTGTCTATTTTGTTGATCTTTTCAAAAAACCAGCTCCTGGATTTATTGATTTTTGAAGGGTTTTTTGTGTCTCTATCTCCTTCCAGTTCTGCTCTGATCTTAGTTATTTCTTGTCTTCTGCTAGGTTTTGAGGTCTTTTGATCTTGCTCCTCTAACTCTTTCAATTTTGACAATAGAGTGCTGATTTTAGATCTCTCCTTGCTTCTCATGTGGGCACTTATTGCTATATATTTTCCTCTAGACACTGCTTTAAATGTGTCCCAGAGATTCTGATATGTTGTGTCTTCATTCTCATTGGTTTCAAAGAACATCTTTATTTCTGCCTTCATTTAATTGTTTATGCAGTCAACATTCAAGAACCAGTTGTTCAGTTTCCATGAAGTTGTGTGGTTCTGAGTTAGTTTCTCAGTTCTGAGTTCTAACTTTATTGCACTGTGGTCTGAGAGATGGTTTGTTATGATTTCCATTCTTTTGCATTTGCTGAGGAGTGATTTACTTCCAATTATGTGGTCAATTTTAGAGTAGGTGTGGTGTGGTGCTGAGAAGAATGTATATTCTGTGGATTTGGGGTGAAGAGTTCTGTAAATGTCTGCTAGCTTTGCTTGGTCCAGGTCTGAGTTCAAGTCCTGGATATCCTTGTTAATTTTCTGTTTCATTGATCTAATGTTGACAGTAGGGTGTTAAAGTCTCCCACTATTATTGTGTGGGAGTCTAAGTCTCTTTGTAAGTCATTAAGAACTTGCTTTATGTATCCGTTTGCTCCTGTATTGGGTGCATATATATTTAGGGTCATTAGCTCTTCTTGTTGCATTGATCCTTTTACCATTATGTAATGTCCTTCTTTGTCGCTTTTCATCTTTGTTAGTTTAAAGCCTGTTTTATCAGAGACCAAGATGGCAACTCCTGCTTTTTTTTGCTCTTCATTTGCTTGGTAAATCTTCCTCCATCCCTTTATTTTGAGCCTTTCTGTATCCTTGCATGTGAGATGGGTTTCCTGGATACAGCACACTGATGGGTTTTGACTTTTTATCCAATTTGCCGGTCTGTGTCTTTTGATTGGGGCATTTAGCCCATTTACATTTAAGGTTAATATTGTTATGTGTGAATTTGATCCTGCCATTTTGATGTTGGCTGGTTGTTTTGCCTGTTAGTTGATGCAACACTTCATTGTGTTGATGCTCTTTACCATTTGGTACATTTTTGGAGTGGCTGGTACTGGTTGTTCCTTTCTATGTTTAGTGCTTCTTTCAGGAGCTCTTGTAAAGCAGGCCGGGTGGTGATGTAATCTCTGAGCAATTGCTTGTTCGTAAAGGATTTTATTTCTCTTTGGCTTATGCAACTTAGTTTGGCCCGATATGAAATTCTAAGTTGAAAATTCTTTTCTTTAAGGATGTTTAATATTGGTCCCCACTCTCTTCTGGCTTGTAGGGTTTCTGCTGAGAGATCTGCTGTGAGTCTGATGGGCTTCCCTTTGTGGGTAACCTGACCTTTCTCTCTGGCTGCCCTTAGCATTTTCTCCTTCATTTTAACCCTGGTGAATCTGATGATTATGTGCCTTAGAGTTGCTCTTTTTGAGGAATATCTTTGTGGTATTCTGTATATTTTCTGGACTTGAATATTGGCCTGCCTTGCTAGGTTGGGGAAGTTTTCCCGGATAATATCCTGAAGAGTGTTTTCCAGCTTGGATTCATTCTGTCCGTCACATTCAGGTACACCTATCAAATGTAGATTAGGTCTTTTCACATAATCCCATATTTCTTGGAGGCTTTGTTCATTACTTTTTATTCTTTTTTCTGTAATCTTGCCTTCTCGTTTTATTTCATTGAGTTGATCTTCAGTCTCTGATATGCTTTCTTCTGCTTGGTCAATTCGGATATTGAAACTTGTGTATGCTTCATGAAGTTCTCGTGTTGTGTTTTTCAGCTGCATCAACTCATTTGCATTCCTCTCTAAGCTGTTTATTCTCGTTAGCATTTCGTCAAACCTTTTTTCAAGGTTCTGAGTTTCTTTGCATTGCGTTAGAACATGTTCTTTTAGCTCAGAGAAGTTTCTTATTACTCACCTTCTGAAGCCTGTTTCTGTCAATTCATCAGATTCATTCTCCATCCAGTCTTGCTCCCTTGCTGGTGAAGAGTTGTGATCACTTGGAGGAGGAGAGGCATTCTGGTTTTGGGTGTTTTCATCCTTTTTATGTTGGTTTCTTCCCATTTTTGTGGATTTATCTCCCTGTGGTCTTTTTTTAGTTGGTGACCTTCAGATGGGGTCTCTGAGTGGATGTCCTGTTTGTTGATGTTGAAGTTATTTCTTTCTGTTTCTTAGTTTTCCTTCTAACAGTCAGGCCCCTCTGCTGTAGGACTGCTGGAGGTCCACTGCAGACCCTGCTTGCCTGGGGATCACCTGCAGTGACTGCAGAACAGTAAGGGTTGCTGCTAGTTTCTTCTATTATCTTTGTCCTAGAAGGATACCACCAGATGTCAGCCTGAGCTCTCCTTTATGAGATGACTCTTTGGATATATGGAGGTTGGGGAGCTGCTTGAGGAGACAGTCTGTCCTTTATAGGAGCTCAAGTGCTGAGCTGCGAGCTCCATTGTTCCATTCAGAGCTGCTCAGAGGTATGTCTAAGTCTGCTGCAGCAGAACTCATAACTGCCTTCTTTTCCCAGGCACTCTGTCCTGGGAATGTGGGGCTTTATTTATAAGTTCCTGATGTGTGGCTGCCTTTTTTCAGAGATACCCTGCCCAGCAAGGAGGTAGCCTAGTCACAATCTGCCAGCAGAGATGTTGCTGAACTGCCATGGGTTCTGCCCAGCTGCTGTGTGAACCTCCTTGCAGTTTTGTTTATAGGGGTATAGTTAGAACTGCCTCGGTAATGGCAGTCTGCCTCTGTAATGGCAGTCTGCCTCTGTAATGGCAGTCTGCCTCTGTAATGGCAGTCTGCCTCTGTAATGGCAGGCTGTCTCTGTAATGGCGGACTGCCTCAGTAATGATGGACCACCTCGGAAATGGCGGAATGGCTCGGTAGTGGTGGACTGCCTCAGTAATGGCGGATGCCCTTCCCTCACAGAGGTAGACCGTCCCGGGTCCAGCTATGCTTGCTCAGAAACTCTCAATCCAGAGCATTTTAGATTGCTGGTCTTTGTGGGGGTGGGACCAGCCGAGCCAGATCACCTGGCTCCCTGTTTCAGCCCCATTTTTTTCAGTTGAATGGGTGACTCTATCTCCCAGGCGTTCCAGTCACCAGTTGAAAAGGCACCCGGATTTGTGTGAGTTTTTGTGTGGAGACCCGCTGCGCTGGCTGAAACAGCTGTGCTGGGGGCTCACGGTGCTTTTCCGCCCAGGAATCTCCTGGTCTGTGGGCAGTAAAAATTCGTTTGGAAATGCGGTTATCACTCACCCTCTGCATTTTCACTGGGAACTGCAATCCAGACCTGTTGCTATTCGGCCATCTTGGATCCCTTCAATAAAGCTGTTTTTTAAAAATAACAAAATCTAATTTCCTGGTATACCCGCCTGTAGCACATGGAGTGCTCATATGCTACAGTTCAGGATAGTAAGTTATTGATGGAAGGATACTACAGGAAGTTAGTAGCTTCCTTACAAAAAGGACTCAGCTAACTCATGTCTGTTGCTTTTTGCCCTTGCTCATCTTCCTATCTGGAGCAAGGTCTACGCCCTTGGGGTCCCTAAAAACCACAGCATGCTAAAGACAGCAGAGCAGCAAAACAGGAGGTGACTGGCAATGGACGGCACCCTAGGACCACTGCATTAGCCTCGATTTTTCTCTCTCTGGAGTTGTTATGGGAGAAAAATAGACCTGTATTTGGTTAAATGAGCATAAATTTTTCCATTACTTGCAGCTAAATGGTATCCCTAATGATATAAACCTATCTAATATCAGCCTATGCTTATTCTTAGAGCCAAGAAGGCAAAAGGCAAAAAGAGACTCAGAAAGAAGTAAAAAAGTTGATTGCAAATGTAACCTTAAGGCACCATGGAGTTAATTTCCTTTTTTAAGGGCAAATAATGTATTTTCAAACTATTTTTTCCCAATTGTGATATATCTCCAGGGGAGTGCTCACCCCTCTAAAGACCAATCATTAAAACATGCGTTAGTATTGAAATACTGAGAAACCAAGTATGAACAAATGACATATTTGTTCAAAGTGAATAACGTTGAACATCATCAATTCCTTTTTTTTAAAGTAAGTTTTTATCAGTATAACAAGAACATCTGGTCTTTGAAAACTTAGAAGACATCTCCCATTAAAACCTATAGACCTGGCCGGGCGCGGTGGCTCAAGCCTGTAATCCCAGCACTTTGGGAGGCCGAGACGGGTGGATCACGAGGTCAAGAGATCGAGACCATCCTGGTCAACATGGTGAAACCCCATCTCTACTAAAAATACAAAACATTAGCTGGGCATGGTGGAGCGTGCCTGTAATCCCAGCTACTCAGGAGGCTGAGGCAGGAGAATTGCCTGAACCCAGGAGGCGGAGGTTGCGGTGAGCCGAGATCGCGCCATTGCACTCCAGCCTGGGTAACATGAGTGAAACTCCGTCTCAAAAAAAAAAAAAAAAAAAAACAAAAAAAAAAAAAAAAAACCTATAGACCTGGTTAGCCTTAACTTCTTAAAGAACAGTGCTAACAGGGAGAAAGCAGAGGCTCACCCATATAGTTCACTTACATATAAAATGTCTGTTGTCAGTATACGTATGCAGGATGTTTGTGTGTCCCAGAGAATTAAGTCCAATATTATCCTGAAATATTAAAGGTAAAAATTAAGGTAGAAAAAATTATTAACAAGCAAGTATTTACATGTTTATTTTCTAGACCCATAAATTAAGTCGTCTCTTGTAGGGCTGTAGGGCCCCTCAGGGTCGTAGGGTGTCCCTTATGCTGTGCTGAGATGCAGGATCTGAGAAGAGACAGGACACTGAAGAAGTGAAAAGCATCTGGACTCAGGGGGCCACGCCACCTGTGAACAGAGATTGGCGAGCCCTGCAAATGCCCAGAAGCATCTGTATTTATTAGGTACAACAGGGGACAGGGTCATGAGTGAGGTCATCATCTGTAGGCTTAGTGATAGGGCATCCATAATCACATAAGTCACAAGCAAGGGGGATACCCCATTATGTCACCTGGGCAGAGAGGTGGGCCGTGGGCAGTAGGGGTCCATGCCATGCACAGTACTAGAGGGTCGTGTACAGAAAAGGGGTCCACCCCCATTAGGTCACTGAGGCAAGGAGGTGGGCTGTGTGCAACAGATGTCGTGCGCAATACTTCTTATCTGGGGGCTGGAGACTTCAAAGGATTTCTAATAGAAGGATACTGTAAACCAGTGCAGTGGGAGCTGACAGACTTGTGCTCTTCTCTTAAGATATTTATGGGAGGATGATTTGAGCTAGCACAGAAGCGAGAAAAGACTGACAGGGTGTACAGCTGCCGTGACTGGTCACACCAGAGGG